CCAAACACTGCACAAAACACATGTCACATTGCTGGCACATAAAATTAAACCAAGGCAGCAGTCCGTGCCACCTGGTACCACCTTACTGAGCTATATGTAGCAGGACATTTAACAAACCGCCTCCTGTTGGTCTTCCGTTACTGAACACCTCATGACCTCTTATTCTCATCACTCCATTTATCTTGCCTGCCCTGCTTGGGGCTCAGTGCCCTGCTTAAGGGCGTGGCTTGACACTAGTGATTGAGCTGAAGAGAGCGTATACTGTTACCCGCTACCACAAACAGCCAAAGGCTGAATTCAAGAGGAATGCGTGGAAGTAGTTTGAAGTAGTTGAACGTATGTTAACATCCAAACATCACAATGTCCCATGCTCAGGGGGAGAGTGTCTAGGCTTTCTGTGGAATATGTCTAAACCACCAGTACAAGAGCCATTGTCGAGGATAGAGGCGAGAGCAATGAGGAGGGAAAAAAAAGGAAGGGGCTCATGCCTTATGCATCACAAGAGAAGAATGGCATTCGGCATGGTAGGAGGAGATCTCCATCTATTTGTGAAGACGGTTGCTCTGGCTTTGGGTAAAGGACTAGTTAGACCCTCAGAAAACGCGGGCCAAAATCCTTAATTATGCGGGCTAAAATCCTTGATTATGCGATAAAAATGCGGGGTTTTTATGTGATTTTATGTGGGAAAATTGCGGGAAGTTGCGTAATATGCGGAAAGTTGCGAAATATGCGGAAAGTTGCGAAATATGCGAACAGTTGTGAAATATGCGGGAAGCGGAAAAAAGGTGATTATTCTCCCGCACCCTGTTACTAGGCTACTACCGAATGAAAGGGAGCACTTTTAAAGAGTTGCTATGATAAACAAGCATACTAGAAACACAACCACACACACACACACACACACACACCTACCTCCTCTTCATTCTGTTTTCATTTACTCGTTCGTTATCTGACCAGCTTCAATATTGTAGGCTACTCACCTCGTTTCTTGCAACCCTCGAAAGGGTTTTGGAGGTTGAAGCCTCTGTGAGCGTGAGTTGCTTGGCTTTCTTGTCCGCAGCAGAAACCATTTTTGAATGTTTGAGCGAATCGAAGTGGGTATTCACAGTCGATTTCCTTTTATGCTCCAACACACAGTTGCACGGGGTAAAGAACAGTTTCCCCCCACTTTCGTACAAGACATTGGGGTACTGCTTTGCCCGGTCTTTAGCTGAAATGTTCGTGGGTAAATGTGATGGATTCGATTTGTTCATCTTGGTGTGTGAATTCCACACCTTCACACGACGGTGTTTGCCTTCTGTGATGCGCGGGCTGATGACGTTGCGTCATCATCACTACTCGTCAAGACGAGTTAACTTTTTTATTTTTTTTCTCAACTTTGTGTGGAAAAATGCGGGGATTATGCGGCCTTTTGATAAATATGCGGACTTTTAAAAATCTGCGGCATTTTGCTGATTATGCGGGAAATTCTGCGATCGCAGAATCGCGTTTTTCTGGAGGGTCTATATAACAAACTTAGACTTTGTTTATAAGTTGATATATACCAAATGTTTTGCTTTAGATTTCTTTGTTCCTTAGAATAATACGGTTTATTTTCCCTTTTTGTTTCAGTGAAGTACGAGCACCTATTCCCCAGAAGCAGGACATATTAGTTGAACCTGAACCATTGTTTGGAGGTATTATACTTTATCTGACCTAATGCATACATATGTCAAACTACATAGCTGTTTCTGACGGAATGTGACTTATGATGTGTCTGTAATATCTGCAGTGCCAAAGCGAAGAAGACCTGCTCGATCTATATTTGATGGTTTCCGAGACTTCCAAACAGAAACAAGTAAGTCATTTCAAGCTTTTAGCAAACTTAAAGAGTTGTAAGTGAATGTGGTAACATTGGATTCTTGCTGAAGTAACAACCAATAAGATAATATGTCACATTTTCTCTTTGTTCAAACTTTTATAATTGTCTATACCTCCTCTAATGTATTTTTGTTCTTTCCCAGTTCGGCAGGAACAGGAGCTGCGTAACGGTGGCACAGTGGATAAGAAACTGAGCACCCTGGCAGACCTTTTCCGTCCTCCAATTGAGCTTATGCACAAAGGCAGCTTTGAGACGGTGAGGAGTCACTCACCTGACATTTTAAATACACTTCTTTATTCAGTTTGTGTGAACTTTCTGTGAAATATCAGATGTGCTCTCTGACTTTGCAGATCACAGGTGGGAAACCAGGTCTGCCGTGCCTGCAAGGGCAGCTGTACGCAGAATGTGTTTTTATTTGTGTTCATGATATAAATTAATTTACAGTCATCATTTAGCATTGGTATTTATACGAGTAGAAGTGCGCATGGCATTGTGAAAACTTACATTTGAGAATCATTTGCAGAATGTTTGACAGCCTGACTGTTCGAGAGGGTTTGTTTTATAACACTGGCTTTACATTTTTTTCAAATTTAATATAAGAAGTTTTTAAAGTACTAAACTAGTGAAGAGCGAACTGTTAGATGTGATAATTAACATTAATCCCATTCAGTTCTCGGTCCACTTTCTACAAAACCAGACCAAAATATATTTTGGACTTTGACAGAAAAAAGTGAACCTTTCTGTAATTTATATTTCCTTTTGTATTTCCATCCATTCATCATTGAGGGTTGATTCTGATTCCAGCCACTTACGTTGACAGTCTTTTCCATGTTTTCCAATTTGCAATATTTGTGAAATCAGCTTTTATAAAGTAAAAAAATAAAACCTGCTTAACCACCAGACATGTGATCGTAATCCACCTGTCGATAGTTATGATTTCTGGACTATAAAGAGAAACAAATTAACTTATATCGTTATCTGTCTTTGTCTTGCCAAATGTAACAATCACATTGCTCACTAGTTGACTGATCAATGTGTGTTTTTTGTGCTTGCAGGCGAAGGACTGTGGACAGCTAGAGAACAAGTGGCTCATGATCAACATTCAAAATGTTCAGGACTTTGCCTGCCAATGCCTGAACAGAGACGTTTGGAGTAACGATGCAGTGAAGACCATCATCAGAGAGCATTTCATATTCTGGCAGGTGTGTAGTTTCAAATCACAGAGCCACATGTTGTCTGTGTGATGCTTTCATGTCCCTGAAAACTTTGTGTTGAGGTCTTTGCAAGGGTCCTTCTGCTAAACTCATTTGAGTGGAAGGAAGAGTTGAACATGATTATTCATATGAGAAATGAATTAAGTCAGGGATACCAAAGTTGAGACTGTCGACAGTACAGCAACACAAACGGTATGTGAAGCTGTGCTTCAACAGCAAACGCTCTTTAATACCCAGTGATGTTGTAGTAAGCACTTCTAGAGAAAGCCTGGCAATTACCGTAGAACATTCTTGATATCCTAATATTCACATATCTGTCACAAAATGAAGTATCTTATCTGTTGTGGTGTTCATGTATTGTTTTGTGCATTTTCTCTCACTACAGGTATATCATGATAGTGAAGAGGGACAAAGATATATCCAGTTCTATAAGCTGAACAAGTTTCCCTATATTTCCATCCTGGACCCCCGCACAGGTGAGTGTTCCTGGGAAGTTGATGCTTGCTTTCAACGACACCATTTGGCTGCTGTTTTTTGAGGAGAAGAAAATGTATCTCTTTTGCAAACACACATTAAGGGCTGTACTGAAGGTCTTTTTTATTTTATTTAAAAAAACAACCACAGAATAATGTTTTTTTCAGCCCCAGCGGAAAATGTTTACACCTACAGATATGGAGTGAAGCAGAACATTTTGGTTAGATAAATACTTTAAAACTAATTTTGACTTCTGGAGTCAGTCATTTTATTTCTACAATTTGTATGACACTAATAATATGAGTGTAGCCTGGTTTATATTTGCAGCTGTGCAGAATTACAAGGTTTAATCACAATGAATAAACATACAAAATAAAAATAAAACTTCACAGAGTTTAAAATAGTGATTTCTAAATTCATTTTCAAACTATCGGATCCAGCCCTATTTAGGAGACAACACAACAGCATAAGAACAATATCCTTTAATAATGGCACATGACTGAGAAAGAGATCCTTGAATGATTAAGTGATGAGATCAATGCACAACAACAATGGCTTTCTCATTAAATAAATAATGAAGATAAATGCTCTGCATTGTCGTCTGTGTTACAATATAACAGTTCAATCAGTAGAGTGAGCAGACGTCTCGCCTCCGCTGTTCATATCTGACAAGTACTTTAAATCAATACAGCCTAACACACCGCCTTCTGCTGACTAAATGCTTTATAACTGATTTTATTATTGACCTATGCTTTCAAAACACATTCACTTCAGGTCAGAAAATGGTAGAGTGGAACCAGCTGGACGTGGCGTCGTTTCTGGAGCAGACGTCGGGCTTCCTGGCAGAGCACGGGCAGCTCGACGGGCCCTCCTGTCAGCCCCCCCCAGCCAAACGGGCGCGCTCGGTGGGTCTCATCTCATGTGTCGCCTCTGTTTCTCCTCTCTGATATAATAAGAGCTGCCTTCTCTCTCTCTGGGACTTTCTAGTAACATAAGAACTCACAATTACTATCAAATGTAGACCTATTATCTGGGATGTGAGTTATTATACATTGGGAAAGACCTTCATTGTTTTCCTTTCCTTCTCCTAAGGGAGAAATTACATGCAAAAAGCAAAAAATAACATGTTCCGTAAATATAGTACACTCTTCTATCTGCATGAAAAGTTATCGTATTACTCATCATATTTTCTCCGAATTTGATCGATAGAAACTTTATTGATCCCTAAATTGGAAATAATTTTGATACAGCAGCAGTGTATGGGCTCAGAACAGTCTCATAATACACACATGCACTCAGAAGGATTCACACTTGTATTTCCGGATCCACACTTGTGTTTTTCAATGCACACACAAATGTGTTCCGTTTCATATACATGTAAATAAAATCCAAACACAGAAAAAAGTTTTACATGTATTTTTGATCCTCACGTATTTGTTTTCCGTTTAAATCCTCTGAGCCTGCAAACACAAACCGCTTTCTGTGCATGGACCGCTGTGCATTCGTGTGTGGGTTTTTTGAGACTCCCCTGACGCTCACCCGATTCGTACTTGTAATTTCTCTCATCTATAGCCAATCAGATGTCTCCTCCAGTCTAAGCCAATCACATGAGCGCGCCCTCACAAGGGTATGATTTCTTGCGTTCATGACACTTCATATACGCATTTTGCGCTGTCCGGTCAGCTCGCTAAACAGAGGGCGGAGCTTCAGGTGATCATGCAGAGCTGCGTGTCTCCGTCAGACTCAGCAGCTGATCTGATCTCTCGCGTCCGGTTATACTTCACTCGCGGTTATGTCCATATCGATCTCATTGCGTCCCTTGTTGTACGTCCCCAATAATACAATACCCACCAAGACACCCGGGAGCCTCATCAACGGACCGAGGGACGACGACAAAAAACCACGAGAAATGACGTCCGCTTTCCTGCCTGTCGATCCTTGTTGCAGCCGCGAGTACCTAGTTCTAAGTTTTACGAAGTGCCTGAGGACGGCCGGGCCACGGACTTGTCTCTGCAAACGCGCATTGCGTACGTCACTTCTGGTGAGTTAGTCTCCGGGAAACAGTATAAGACCGGTCCACAGCCACATCACCGGTTAGTGCTCGGTGTCTCGAACGGGACTTTTGAACACACGTCCAGAAAACGTTCCAGGCAAAGGACGGATTTGTGAGTAAAACTCGACCTTCCTTCTCCCCCTTTACTCTATATAGTAAGACGGCTGGACTTAGGTCAGTGCCCTATGTTGTCACTCTACACAGCTGTCATGTCGTTGTTTGCGCGGCGCGCGCCTATACACTTCCGACACCGAAGTTGCTCGTTTGCGAGTTTGGTCGACTCTCATCGGTAAGACATCTCTGGCCGTTCCTTGCGGCAGGCTTGTAAGCCCAACTATAACGATTCCCTTAGACCCGCGTTCTTCTTCATAGAATAGACAACAGCGCCCAAGTACATAACAAAACACGTAAAAGAGAGCCTGAATGTCCATCATAGTGGAGCTATCACTTCTCCCCCGTGTTCTATGATAGGCAGAGAATATTGACGACTGTTCACAAGGGATATAAAGGTAGACCTGGGGCGGTGTCCACGTCACGAAGGGACGCTTCAACCTACGAACGACCGTCTGCTGTAAGGTAAACCCGAACGACAAAACCTCCTCTTCTCTTACATAGAGCCAACGTTGTGTTAATCTCCTTCCCGCAACAATGACTTCGCAGCACAAACATAAAATTAATTTTTTTCTGGTGTCTTTGACCCAAGCCGCGGGGTCGGCCTTTGACAAAAGATGTTAACACTACTGTGATTAATTCTACACGGCCGTGACCCGGAGAGCGGATCCTAGAACGCGCGCCGCTTCCCGACGTCAAAGAGTCTAGGGTTCCTCCTTGGTAGGTTTATTTTCTTGTGAAGTCCTCAAAGGCTCATCACCTCCCGCTTCAAGTTAAAAGTTTGCATAGCCTAGGTCGGGATAAATCCCTGTTGTGTTGTCGTATTCTTGTTATACGAAATTACTTACCCTGTACTGCCCTCTCCGCTGGGCTGGGCGGAACTGTATAATTCACCTCTAGTTACGTGTTCGTGTCTCCCGAAAGACGTAATTCTATTGTATTACGTCAGACCCTACTCACGAGGACGGGTAACCGACACGCACAGTGCGCTTGGGAGGTATGGGGAAGTGTAGGTCGCAATCCTCACTCGTCTGCCAGAGCGGAGGCCGACACAGATTAGACGTTCATGAACATTTAGCTATGTCGGGGAGGGGTGTCGGCGCGGCACAGACCGCCGGATTCGACGCAATATCTTTGACTCAACATAAACATAACTGATACGAAAGCGTTTGTGTGTAAGTGAGTCCCAGTCTTTTACACCCACAACACCCCCTTGGTCCGCCGCGCACGCAGCAACCCTCGCGCCGACCGGCCGTGGCCCGTCCGCCCGGCCCGTCGGCTGCCCCGGTCCGGGATCCGGCCCGCGCGCGCCACCCAGAGTAGGTACACCAGCGAGACAAAGAGGAGAGGGACCCTCCCTATTAGGCCTCGACGGAAGAGAGCAGAGCGACCTTGAAAGATCATTGGACTTCTTGACGTGCGCAATGATAGTTTCCACCTCTCGGGACTCGACATAGACCGACACTCACCACTAAGTATGTAACCCTCTCTGGGGAAGGGAAGCAAGAAGCGCCCACAAGAGGATTTTCCCCTCTACATGTACGGGGCGTGGTTATTGTAGCGACAGGCATTAACTACACAGCAATGGAGACGATAACCCTTTTCCAATAAGCCATCCCAGATGAGTAGATAACCAAGCCTAGGCGGGAAATAAGCTAGGGCATGAAGCCGGGATTCCCCCAACCCCTCGCTCGGCCCAGACCGCGGGAGTCGCTGGCCAGAGAGGAGGGGACCGCGTGTCCCGTGGTCTTCCTAAGCGTGACAACACAATAGCCTTAGGCCCCCGCTGGTGGGATCCCCAAACCTACGCGTGCGTGTGTTTAGCGACGAACCGCGCGCAAAGGGAGGGACCTTATTTTAGGTTTGTCTGTTTCAAGGTGAATGTACATAGAGAGAACTCGAGCCTCATCCAAACAATCACGCGCAATACCCCCCGCGCGACGTTCCTGTTGCCGCACAGAGCCCACGTACCGAGCGACACGTTAAGCACACACCCCAAACCAACTCTGACAGCGGGACGCGAGGTCTGGCGCTAAGCATGAACATAAAAGAGTAGAATCGGTTGTCCTCTTCCGCAGGAGCGCCATCAGATGTCGGTCCTATAGGTACTTCGCGCGCGCGCGGTGCCTCCGCAGGTACTGAAGCGCAAGTACTGCCTGACAGCTCGCCGTCAACGCGACAGGCCAGTCGCAGCGATTTCTCTCCCCGCCATACCGACGTCCCCTCGTACGTCTCGACGCACAGAGGCACGTCTCACTCAGCTACGAGAGCGCCCGCCAACCTGACCAGCGCTGAGCGCCCAATACAGGGTATAGCTAGTCTAGGCCTCGCAGAGGACTCCCGGGCATTCTCTCGTGGCTAGCCTTTATTGAAATCGGCACGTGATGGCTAGCCGCGCTATACCTGCCGCCCCCGAGGGGCGCGGGGCGCGGCGCGGGCAACTGTCAAAGCTGACAGATCGTGACCGAAGCATCACGTGCACTGCTAATCCGAATGTTGAGTTGCAACATCGACGAGGGAGGTGTGAGTGTTGTTGAAGTCTGTTGTCTCTTTCGTCGACATAAGCGGTATGTCCCTTCTGTGTTGAAATTTTGCCAAACCGCGCACGGTAAAAGACCCCTCTTCGCTAAGTCTAGACCCGAAGCCTTGTCCGCGGGCGACGAATGGAAATTATTATAATTCCGAACATCAAACGCACATAACACGACAGAGCCTAGGCCTCACCGTTCCCATGACTCTCACCTCCACAGGACTCTAACTCGCCGGACGGGCGCCCTCGCCGCGCGCCCTCGAGGCACTACGCGTTTTACGCATGTACTTCGCGAATGCAGTCCACTTCGTTCTTTAGATCCGGAGGCACCCCCCGCCGAGCTACACTACAACCGCAAGATCTTAACTCTCCTCTGTAGACTAACCCCCCCATGGAGCGTTCCTCCCTCCTCTCATGCGTCGACCGGACGGGCGAGCCCCTCAGAGTTTTTGTGTGCTTCGTGTCGCTAGTACGTGTCTAGCCAAACACAAAACATCCACTCGTCGCCAAAATTTACCTTTATTGTCTCTCCATACACTCCTATTACTACTCGAAAAAGGGACGGATAAAGACGAGAGGAATACATGTACATAATACTTTGCTTGTGCTAAACACACACGTAACTTTTTGTGTTGCACACCTGGAAGACACACGTACACACATAATACTCTGACAAGACTGGATGGCACACAAGTCGAATTGTAATAAATTTTCCACTTATTTCATATTTGTATTTGGTTGATTTGCCGATTTATAACTTTGATATACAATATGTATAATAAAACGTTAAACAACGTAGAAGAATCCAGGGTTTTCTAACAAAGTCATAGTCAAACCGGGTACGGTGGTGACATACCGTTTTCCGTAGTCAGTTATCCGAACTGGTGATCAAAAAGCAAAATACTGAGCCGAGACAAATGAACAAAAAGATGTCGACGTATGAGACAAAAGACCAGTCATCTCCAACTATCTACGTACTTCTGTCAGTCGACCTCCGTGCTAGGCTCGAGGGAATGTCCCTCGTGCATGCTCAGGCGCCCTACGGTGCCTTCTGGGACTAAGGGCTAGGGCTCCTCCTAGCCTGCGTCTCGGAAAAGAGACTGTCCGCTCCCAGGGTAGAGACAGCTGCCCAAGTCTGTCGCTTGCGGTCGCCGGGGGTACTTCTTTTCTTTAAAATGGTCGTTTGTGCGAGCGAAAGGCCGCGACGCCGGGTCGTTGCAGATGTAGGCATAAGGTGAAAGGGTATCTCGATGTTTGTTTCTTATTGTCGTGGTTAGTGTTCTTCCTCTCTCATTTTTTCTTAAGTGGACCTCGGAGTACCGAGGTCCACTAAGAAAAATGAGAGGAGGAAGAACACTAACACCAACAAAAGAAACAAACATCTGAAAGATACCCTTCTCCCCTTGATAGCCCTACATCTGCAACGACCCGCGCTCGGCTCCGCGCCGCCCCGCGGGCCCAAGCCCCCTCCCTTGGAAAGAAGAAGTGAGCCCCGCGGACCGGTCAAGCGACGCAGACGTTGAGCAAGCCGCCTCCCCTACCCTGGAAGGGCGACGCTCTTCTCTCTTCCCGAGACGCAGGCTCGCCGCCCCGGAGTAGAAC